TGCTATGATTAATATGCACATTTTAAGTGATTGGCAAACCTGTGAATGATTAGATATAAAATTAAAATGATTTTTCATTTTATTTTACTTATTTATATGTATTCTAATACAATATATATATATATATATATTAGTAATAAGTTATAACATCAATTTTTAGATTTTTTATTAAATTATTATTTTATTATAATACTAGTTAATAAATAATATGACAAATTAATTAATGGTATATATTAAATTTTCATTTTAAGACAAATATAAATATATTTATAAAATATAAATTTTAATATTTAAGTTCTATTTTTATTAAAATTTATTTTAAAAAATGATAGAACATATAAAAAATTGATAAATATTAATATATCCAGCATATATATATGTTTTATAATTACATAAATTATGTATATTTATTTTTATTGAAATGATTGTATATATTATATTTATAAATTATATCATAAATTTCTTTTATAATTTGTTCGAATTTAAATTATATTTAATTAAATTAATATTATATCATAAAATTATCTTAAAATAACAGAATAAATAAAATAATGATAAATATGAATTTAAATAATTAAAATTTAATATAATTTATTTTTGATGTAATTTAAAATAAATTAGTTATATAATTTTAATTTTTGTAAAAATATTTAGAGGTCAATGTTCTGGAAAAGCTTCATTTGAGAGTATTGAGGGTGGAGCTTTTTGAGAGCATTGACATTTAGTAAATGCTCTACTTAATGCTCTGTCAACCAATCAAATTTTAATGATAAAAGGCATAATGCTCTTTTAAATGCTCTGCCAATCAAACCCAAAGAATGAGAGGTTGAAGCTAAATGATCCAATTAGTTTTCCTTTTATGTGATTCAAAATTTGTGTCTATGATGTGTTGTTCGATCTTTCGTAGTACTTTGAGTTTGTCTAAATGATCCAATTAGTTTTCGTAATGACATTAGAGTTTATAATGTTGTAGAGGATGTGATAATTTCTATCACGCAACGCGGTAGGTGTGCTTATACCAAAATTTTTCTTCGAAAGATACGTGTGAGCAATTATGGGTTCTATCTCCTACAGTTCATTGGGCTAAAGTGATATGGTTCTTAAAAATTGTTCCTCGGTTTTCGATTTCTACTTGCTTGGAAATTCTCAAAAGACTTTCAACAAGGGATAGACTAAGAAGATGAGGATTGAATTTTCCACCCAAATGTATTTTTTGTGCTTCCGGTATGAATAGCCACAACCATCTTTTCTTTAAATGTTCATTCTCCGCAGGAATTTGGAGCTCTTTTGCCTCAAAGGTCTGGTCTAATCCTCCAATGAATTTACATGATGCAACTTCTTAGATCAATCATGTTAGGTGTCAAACACAAAGACATATTACTACAATTATCGAGCTCACTCTCCAAGCAACTGTTTATTCTATTTGGCTTGAAAGAAAGGCTTGGTTTTTCGCCGCAAACTCACTGCCTTCTGCCATGCAACGCAAGCTCACCTTATTTCTTTGAATTTTATTTATTTGTATTAAGTTATCTTTTGATTATTAATATGTTTTTTCGGTATTTTTTTCTTTTGTTTAAGTTTTTAAAAAAAATCTTTTTCAAAATTATTATCTAATGCAACTCTAATACAATTTATATAGTAAAGAATACAATATCTAATGGATAATCATATATACTTATAACACATACATTGGAAATTGTCAATTTTGTTTTTTCTTTTTGTAAAATCAATTTTAGCTTGGTAAAATCTTACAAATTTTTTTTTAAAAATCAGTTAGTTATCTACAAAAATAAAGCGCAGG